TTATAGGTCGTTCTAAATGCATACCTTATCTCTATCAAAGTGGCAGCGCAGGATACTGCGGAAGTTTCAGGAATGAAGTCTGAGGCAAAAAGTAAGTTTAGCATCCAAGGATCTGATGATCCTTGCGGCAACCTTGTCCTTGCGTGTTATCAAATCAGCGACCTGAGATATACTCGGTAGTGACTATTGACTAACCGTTTTCAATTGACAGCATGTAGCTATCAGCGATAATTGGACGACCTGACATGCAACAGGAATATCAGATTGATTGTTGTTCCATGTGTCATGGCAAGATACATCTGAGATATATGCTTCAGAACACATCATAATCAACATCTATATAGATGCGAACATCTATTCGTTTTTCAACTTGCATCTTTCTCCTAAAACTCCAAAGCAAATCCTGTTTACATTTAATTAACAAAGCTATATTAAGATATCTGAGCCTTTTGTTATAAGAATATCACCTCCCGAGCCTACCTCTACCTCGTCGCTCGACTATACGAAGTGCCTGTCACAATGGCAACCAGCTTTGTTAAACGTCTCTTTGTATCACCGGAAATCAACCCAAGTACCCGCAAAGCCAAATCTATTCCCGTATTGAACCCTTTCGATCAATATGGACGGGTGTTCTTCTTCTCATGGCTTGGCTTCATGGTGGCATTCCTATCATGGTATGCCTTTCCACCACTGGTAAGTTCATGATACAATTGCAACATGCTTGATATACGAAAAACAAGAACACTCTCTAATCTCATCCCTCTGTGTAGTTGAGCGTGACCATCAAAAAAGACTTGAACATGACACAAGATGATGTCGCCAACTCAAACATCGTCGCACTTCTGGCAACGTAAGTATCAGAGTATGGAATAATTGAAGAATCAGCTCTCTAACATTTACAGTCTACTCGTCCGATTTGTTGCAGGGCCACTCTGTGATCGCTATGGCCCACGCTTGGTCTTTGTGGGATTACTCCTATGCGGAGCCATTCCTACAGCCATGGCCGGTCTCGTCACCGGTCCCAAGGGCTTGATAGCTCTGCGATTTTTCATTGGAATTTTGGGAGGAACATTTGTCCCATGCCAGGTCTGGTGCACTGGTTTCTTCGACAAGAGTATTGTCGGCACTGCCAATTCCCTCGCTGGAGGTTGGGGTAATGCAGGCGGAGGTATCACATAGTAGGTGTCACCCATTTCTCCCTTTAATCCTATGAATATACTAACAATTCAATGCAGCTTTTTGATGCCCGCCATCTACGACTCTCTCGTCCACTCCCGCGGCCTCCCATCTCACAAAGCATGGCGTGTTGCCTACGTCGTCCCATTCATAATCATCACTGTCATCGCGCTGGGCATGTTGCTACTCTGCGAGGATACACCAACAGGAAAGTGGTCTGAGAGACACCTTTGGGTGAAAGAGTCAAATGAAACCACCATGACCACCGACGGCAACATCGTCGACATCAACTCCGCCAATTTCACTAGCGGAATGACGACCCCCCACAACGCCGCAACAATCGACATCGAAAAGAAAGGCGCCCAGTCACCACAAGTTCAAGATGCCGAAACATCAACAATGGGCCACCAGATGGACCTCTTCAAACAAGAGACAGTCGTCTCACCAACTCGTCGAGAAGCCCTGAACGTGGCTCTGAGTCTATCCACAATGGCTGTAGCAATCCCCTACGCCTGTTCGTTTGGCTCAGAGCTAGCAGTCAACTCGATCCTGGGATCTTACTACACAGAGACCTTCCCACACATGGACCAAACAAAATCGGGACAGTGGGCTGCCATGTTCGGCCTGTTGAACGTCATCTTCCGACCCGCGGGTGGTCTATTTGGTGACCTTGTTTACCGCCACACAAACAACGTCTGGTCAAAGAAGCTTCTGGTTACTTTTTTGGGTGTCGCGATGGGAGCTTTCCAGCTTGCGATCGGATTATCGAACCCGTCCACAGAGGCGGCTATGTTCGGTCTCATTGCGGGACTCGCTTTCTTCCTCGAGGCGTCTAATGGAGCTAACTTTGCTCTTGTGCCTCATGTGCATCCTTTTGCTAATGGTATGTGGTCCCGTTCTTACTCCCTAAATGGCGTTTTGAAACTAACATTTTTTCACTAGGTATTGTTTCTGGTATTGTTGGTGGTTTCGGAAATCTTGGAGGAATTGTCTTTGCTATTATCTTCAGATACAACGGGTCAAGCTACGGGCGATCGTTGTGGATCATCGGTGCTATATCTATGGCGGCTAATATGGCCGTTTGCTGGATCCGCCCTGTTCCCAAAAGCGAGACGCTGTCTTGAAAGAGATTTTATGTGCTTTTATAATTACGAATATCAAATTGAATCTACTAATATTTTTCTATCCGTTCAGTTTATATACAGTCTGTTATGCACTTTGTAAAGTGGTTTGTATAAAATTGCAGCTTAATTGGACCTCGGCGGCCTCTGTGCAAGGGTTCTAAGCAAAGCCATTATCCCATCCATAGTAGCAGCCATGCTATCAATTCGAGCTTCTAACCTAGTGATATCTTCCTTTTTTGCCCCAGTTGAGGCCTCTATAGCCGCTCGACTATTCATCATACTAAGAAATAAGGCCATTTCTGTGTGCAATGATGGCGAGGAAGGCGCTGGCGAGGGAGGTAGTGTTCGTGGCCGGGCTGTTGGACGCTCACTTTCTATATTATAATTAGTAAACTATAGTAGAAATACGCTAGTTTTAACATACCATCCTCCGTAGAATTTGCCGGATCTCTAGGCCTTTTATCCCTTGCTTGTTGCACTAATCCATCAGCTACATCATTCTGCACAGACTCGGTAGATGCCTGGGCCTTAGTATCTGCACGAGTAGCAAGCCCTTTTCGTCGTTCCTCGGCTACTATCTTCTCTTGTAGCACTTCGTATATCTCATTGGCACAATCAAAAATAGCGTCTTCCGTAGCGTTCATTTTAGGTCGGGCAGGTTCCGGTATAGCAATTATAGCGGAATGCTCTTTTAGCCTATCAGTGACGTGCTTATGAACCGTTTGGTGATTTATATTCCGCCCAGTATCGGCCCTCCATACTTTTGCAATCGCCTCATAAAGAACGGCATTGCCCTTCATGGTAGTAAACCGATCTTTATAGTTAACGGCAATGCGTAGTAGGTTGAGGTCATCTTCAGTTGTAAGGGGCGACGCTCTAGTGGTTTTACTAGCGGTCTGACTAGCAGTTGGACTGACAGTTTGGCTAGGAGTTGGCCCTGCTGGAGAGGTAAATTGCATCTGCCAAGTAGCTGGTCGGGCATGCCAACCCCTAATCACGGGGGGCATTGGGCCTGGTTGGGATTCAAAGGCGGTCCTCTCGTGGGGGGGTAGATCGCTCTGAGGAGTTGTCCCTTGCGTTTCGGTTCCGTCTGCCATGGGTTGTAGAGTAGTGTGTGGTGAGGTATAAAACTGCAAATAATCCAGATATCCGACCTCGGGAGCATTTGGTGAAAGGGTCAGAATGCCAAGAAATACAGAGTGGATACCAAATTGTCTTCCGCTTTCCTAATGCGGATATTGACTAAGCTGTATCAGGTGGAAGCGAGCCGAGCCGAGTATTTTTCTCCTTGGCCAAATTGGTTTATTGCCATGGCCAACAGTATCTCGCCCACTAATATCAAAGGTACTTCATTATCTATGTGATCCGCGGGCCCGGGACAAATGATGGTTGCGGAGTGCTCTACAGACTTTATCCATCTCATCTCACACTTCGGTGGTCACTTTCTAGAAGAGTTGTTTGTTTGGGGCTTCTTACTACAATATGCTCTAGAGTCGATACATCATCCTATTTATCTAATGTGCACTCTTTGACTAGCCACTTATTGCCGTTTTTGCTTTGATCCCGCCAGGCCTCTTGTGTGCCACTAGCGAATTCTGGCTTGCCGAGGAGCCACCCTGGCGACAAAGAGACTGCCGAAGCGGGGGACGATGTTTATCCAATTAGTATTTCCATGGGGCTTCGGCAGGCCTAGTGAGGATTGACAACTTGATATTCGAAACTATGCTTTATTCACGAGCACCGAGATCTCGAAGATATGCATCAAGCGTAGGTGACCTCCCCAAGAATGCCTTTAGTGCCATCATCTCATTTTGACTTCCTCCGGGCGCCAGTATCATTTTTCGGTATCGGATACCAGCATCACGGCTCATTGGATTCGCATGGAAATTAGAAACCCACATGTCGGCTGCCAATATACGGGTACTGGGAGGTGAGTGAATAATCAGCATATGCCTCTATGCTCCGCGTAAACGACGATAAAACGTACTAGAGATAGGAATAATAGTTTGCTTCTTGACCCCACATATAGTGTGAAGTAGTAACATGTCCATTGCCCCAGTCAACCCTATTCTCAGGGCCTTGTAGAAGTGTCATTTTCTGTAAAAACGAGTTGTATACCTCGCCAGTACGCATTGACTGAATGAGATCGTGGGAACCAGGGCAGTGGATTTGCATGTCAAATTTGCTGAATGCAAGCTGCCTGAGAGTAAGAATCCCTTGATTAACTCCTTTAGCTGCAATTAGGCTGTGGACCAAATTGTCCGGAATCTCTTTAGGAGGCTGCACAGTGGTAGAAGGCCACTGTTTATCGGAGACGTAGGAATAGTGGCAACTAAGCATCTGGAGACATTCAGGGACCCAACACCAATATTCGAGTAATTGGCTGGGAGCTTCAACAAAATCTGTAACTGTTCGATGTCCGTGGAATATCGCATACTTGGATCTTCCGAGGAGATCATGTATTCCTTTTCGAACATTAGTCTACTAATTTCAAGATCTCTGTTGACTCCATTTACCGTGACCTAACTCATGGAAAATCGTAATTAATTCTCGATGCTGTAGAAGAGCTGGCTTGTCTGACGATGACTGCGAAACATTGCAGACTAATGCGGTGGCAACTGGCTGCTTTTGTTTTCCCGCGGAGAAGTAAGACTTGAACCAATGTGTTAGTAAACAAAATATTCCGTAATGTGATTTCACCTAGACACGAACAGGATAGATGTTGAAATTGGCTGCGTGATTGTACTTGCCCTCTCGAGGGTAGATATCAAGGTAAAGAAATCCCAGAAAAGCGGACTTGTCATCTCGCACACTATAGACTCGGACATCGGAATGCCAAACTTGCTCCTTGGCGACTTCCACGGGTGCGATTGATAGGCTGAAAATTGTTTCAAAGGTCTTCAGCATTTGTTGAATTGTAATCTCTGCGGGAAAGTACTCCGCAATTAGCTCATGATTAGTATTGTACTTTTCTCGTAGCAACCGGTCATGGTAGTAGTCAAAATCCCACAGAGAAAGAGAAGTGGAAGAGTTATATCCTTCTCCGTCTCCCCCTTTAAGGTGTTGTAAGGTTTCTAGCTCCTTCTGCGCAAGAGGCTGCAAGTGATTGTAAAGTTCATCCAATAACTGATCAACGTTGCGAGGGGATGTAATCATCTTGTGTCTCGACTTCTGGGCTGCATAAGATGAAAACCCCAGCAAACGAGCTGATTCATCCCGAAGGGTGACTGCCTCGTTGAATATCTCGAGATTGTCTGGGAAGATATTCTGGCTCTGAAGAAACACATCTTTTCGTGTCTCAGCGATGTGGCACCGAGTCAATACCATAGTGATATTCGGCTTCTTAAGCTTGATACCTCTTTGGCTAGTCGAAGGATGCATAGGTAATTCTTGCAAGGTCTCTGCGGCTATTCCCTCTAGCTCATGCTGGTCCTTCCACACATAACCAGGGTCAGAGCTTAGATTCTCCATGAATGCAACTCGTAGCTCAATTAGACGATTTGAGATCCCAATGAATCGGTCCCGTTTATCCCCTTGTAGTTCAAGCCCATTTTCCATAAACATTGAGTGAAACCTTTTGAGAAGCTTTTGGTCTTCGCCCTTTGGATCCTCCTCAGCCTGATCTTTATGCACAGCGTCAACCAAGTCAAACAGAGACGGCATTCGGAAGACACCCCAATATGCCTTATCTACCATATTCACAGCCGCTGAAGATGCCTTACGCATTTCTGACGAAGGAGAAACTGCCTGAAAAAGTGCCAGGTATTGAACCTTCCCTTTGACCTCGTTGTCAATATCTGCCAACGGGCGAAGTGCATTCTCAAATGTCGCGTTTTGCGGTGAAATTCTGTTGGTTAGGTCATTCGTAGCTGTTTGAACTTGGTTGACCAAGTCCATCGCAATATCCAGCAGTGTGGACGGGCTGAAATCGAAAGTAGGTAATTCGGGGGTTGTTGAAGCCATTGTATTTTTTCGGATAAGTCGTCGTTGGTATCAGGTAGCAGAGATCAAGGCAATCCAGAAATCCAAAAAAAAAGCTAGGAAAGAGACCTGTGAGAGAGTTTCAATAGGGCACAATGATTGATTTAGAAAGTGGGGGAGGCCAGGAGGGGCCATATAAAGGGCGAAGGTGCTAGTACTACAACTACATCCATGTAGTATGTATTATCTACACCTAATATGTACTACTAGTAGTACCATCATCCACAAGAGGTTTTAATGATGTATTATAACCGTATTAATTCAAGCTCCAGCCTCAATGCATGTGGAGATATGCCAAGCTCTCCCCGGGTTAGCGCACTCCGAGTGCGGGTTGAAGCTAGAGCGAGAGAGGGGCATAAAAGGCAAAGAGTTGGTTTGCTTGGTTTTTCCTTACATTCAGCTCTAATTCAAAAGACTTCAAGTACAATTTGATTATATTTATATTGAATATCTCGCCATGGCTCAATCTCAACCCCGCCGCTTCGCCCAGATCGTCCATCTCAAGCCCTCCGCTGTTGCGGCATACAAGGAGTGCCACGCCAATGTCTGGCCTGAGATCCTTCAAAAGATCAAGGAATGCAACATCATAGACTGTAAGTTTCAATGTCAAAAGCCATGTATAGATATACTGTGTGTTCAAGCTGGCTGACATAGTATATTTGCGCCGATGCAGACTCAATCTACTTCGATAACGACCGGACTCTATTCGCGACTTTCAAGTATGTCGGCACTGACATTGAAGCTGACATGGAGAACATGCGGTCATTGCCGAAGATGAGAGAGTGGTGGGCTATGACTGATGAGATGCAGGTATGTTGGAGATTTAACACAAATGGATAGATACAGACGCTGATCTGAAGCCCGTAATAGGAGAGTCCAATTCCTGGGGCCATAGGCAGTGCGGAGGGTCCAGGGTGGTGGAAGCCCTTAGAGGAAGTGTTTCACACAGAGTAAAACTTTCGGCGATTGTGAATATAATTGAACTTGTACATAGCCACAGATTCTCTGTTAACAGTCGATTATCGGAAAAATTGATCAATCTTTCTTTGTTTCGTGTCATGTGCGGCTGTTCCAACCCCACCCCTGGTGCGATGGAGATTGGCAAGATGTCTCTTGTCGTCAATACTCAGAATAACAAATGCGAAGCCTGGCATGGCAGTAGGCAGCATAGTCCTTTCCGTCGCGTTCGGGGTAATCCGTATCGTCATGTAGCCGGTGTTTGACCAGATAGGCTTATTATGAACCGTACTCATATCGGTGTCACAAATCCCGGGAGCACCCTTGGTGTCCGCTGGATTGAAGATCTCAGTAAAATACGACCATAGCTCTTGGAGGATAATGCCGTGGGCAACAATCGCGACATTTTGCTGGTCGTGTGGGTCACATATCAGTAGTGGAAGCAGGTGTTCGTCGCAAAATTTTTCAGCCCTCTTTCTCATCGACGCTTTTGACTCGGGCATTACCCAGTCCCGCGGCCTTGGCAATGGAGGAGAGGTTTTCCAGAAGCGGCCCTCCATCGATCCGTAATCTTTCTCTCTTAAATTCTGAGTCAATATCGGTTGTAAGGGTGTTTCACCGGAAGGTGAAACCTGTGCACGGCAGACCTCCTCGGCTGTGATTCTTGCTCGACTTAAGTCTGAAGAGAACACCGTCATGAATTTGGTGGAATTGGAGACGAAATGCTGAGCAAGGCAATTGATCTGAGCCATCCCATGGTTGGTCAGTGCCGAGTCAGTGGTGCCCGCCCTATCACAAGAAGTCAGTCAAGCGGGAATGTCAATTCAGAAATATAGGTTCCTACAGGACTTTTCCCACATTGTGCACTGTTTCCGCATGTCGAATTAAATATAATTGCATTGCGGAATAAGAAGCTGGCAAAGTTGGAGCAAGGGGGAGAGGCCCGTATTCTGGGAGACTGGAGAAACTGAGAAATTAAGATGAAGAGGAGCCTATATAATTAAAGTCCTAAAAGCAAGCATCATGACCTTAGAGTCATCGACAAAGAATAAATCAGAGTTGTGTTTGGGAGTTGGTGACACATTCATAACGCTAGCCGGTTTAGGAAATATCTGGTGCCTCGGAATTCAGGGAATGCTTGAGCTCTGCCTGCTTCAATGTGGTATTGCTCTTTCAATCCACATTTCTATTATATATTACACTCGATTGGTTTGAATATGATAATATATTCAACGGATTCAGCGAGAATCTAGAGTAAGATAAAAGATATCAGCCTTCGTGTACATAGGACCCCACAAGTTATTCTGCCTATTCGCACCTAGACATCTATTCGCCTCAAAGATGATTTTGCGTGAGAATAAGAGACGTGGTATTCTGTAACCTTCGTGATGCCCGTTGTATTTTGATACTGGGCTTCGCTGCCCCGGCTAGACGGGAGGATCCGGCCCGTGCTATCCTCCGAGGGGCGGTTTGGGGGATCGCTGGTTTGGTTCATACTAATGCGGGCCCTGGTATCAGGGTACGCTTTTAAATGAGTCCAGTTACTTCGAGGCCGCGAGGTGGCTTTAAGATCCGAGCTCCTGCTAGCCGAGGTTCCGTAGCTGTCGGTCCCATTATCTAAGGAAAAGAAGGAGGGGAAAAGCCTAGCAAGTGGCATCCACATCATTGGCAGGCAGGCACAGGTGATCGCCACATTTTCCTCAAGCATCGTCCATACTGAGGATGCGATATCGTCTGTAGGGGTATATCGTAAGTGCCTGCGCAAGAGTAACCCGTAAAGGCTATAAGGACACTTACAAGTAGGGTCGGGACTGGTGGACGAGAAATCCAGTGTCTGCATCCGGAGAATGCTTGTAACGACGACACTTGGAAACTGCGGGTCAGTCATGAGTTGACACCTTTGGCTGCGACACCGAGGTATTTAGGACTCACAAGGCACCCAGGGCAAACACCCCCATTAGGGCGATTTTGCGCTTCAATATTATTTTCGACTTATAGAGCGGATACATCGGCAGTGTCAATATGATGACGTCGGTAGCAATCGAAAAGCCGGCGTTGGCGTACCAGTTGGTGGTTATGTCGATGCATGATCCTGGAATGGTCTTGTTCCAGGCTCGGGCCACTGGGGTGCATTGAAATACGGAGGCGAAGAAGGCGCCCACCATGTAGGAGGTGATGATGACCAATAGCACATAACAGGTGATGCGAAACCAACGCTGGATAAAAATGCGCAGATATAGCATCAAGATGGACATCTTTGTCGTGTTCATAGTAAGCTTGTAGAAAGCCTGACTAACGAAGAAGAACTGGGAGGACTAAAGTTAGCAGCCCATACGGACATAAAATGCTAGCGATCCGTAGCCACAACATAGACAAAGGAATACAGCGAGGACAATTTTTAACATACCTTCATGGTCATTAACCTATTCGGTGTTGTGATATTCGCAATGTGCTGACCAAAGCCATAGGTACAGGACGCCAGCATGAAGGCCATTACAATGACCGCAAAGCTCTGTTGATACTAGTGTTAGGTCTGCATATTACAGCTCAATTCCACGCATGAAGAGCTCACGCAAGACGCCAAAATGGTCCAGTCATCCCAGCCCAGGCCCGACTTAGACTTAGCTCGGGACCACAGTCGGATTCCCACAAAGGTCGGCGTGGTGACAAGGAAGACGATACATGGCACTTGAATTTCAAAAGCCCTGCTTGGCCCTGGAGTGTTCTGGGGCATAGCAAATTGCTAGAGCTCGCTTGGAGGCCGATAGGTTGGTCTTGCGAAACCGATTGAGGCGAAGGTCGATACATTGTACTCATCCGAACGCCATAGCTATTAGTAGTAGTGTAGTCTTAATTTTCTTTTCTCATGCTTCTTTCATGCATACGTGCATAACCGCATTACCGGCGGGATAGCGTGTTAGCGTGTTATGCAGCAGAGTTACATCGACATTGACAGGGGTCCTATTCGCGGAAGTTTTCGCCCTCTCGGCATCGAGTCACATCGCGCAGCCTAATCGGGGCATTCGCCCGTTTAATCCGATGCCCTTGTTCAAAAAACAGAGGGCTAGACTGGGGGCGTTCGCAAGATGTCTCCGTGATTAATTTCATGCTGCATGGCGTTAAAGGCGCTAGTTTTGGAATTGTTGGGGGCCAACTTAATCAGGATTGGACTGTCAATTTATGTCAATCAATTCACCAGCTGAGAGCGAAATACTTTGGATAAAATATTATCAATAAGAAGTTACCTATTAGATTGCTCGAGAGCGAAATTTCTCAAGGGCCCTGGGATCGATGAACTAAGCATTATTCAGCACAGTGCCCTGAGCCCTGGAGGTCCCGAGTTCCCGAGGTTCCCGCCCCTCCATTGTACCTGACTACACCCGGTGCGTGCTAGTGAAATTGCAGTTGATTAAAAACACCACGCTTGTACGAATGAAATTGCAATTAAAAATCCCATATCCGTCGGGTCGAACGCGAAACAGGAAAGGCTGTACGGAGTAGTCGGTTCCTAGGTAACTAATCACATAGAGGTATGTAGCAACGCAGCATCTGTGCCCCTGGCTCTGGTGGCTCTGGTGCGACACTGGGATCCGCCTTGAATTTGACTAAAATAACTCTCAAGCTGGTATATATATGTTTGCAACAGGAAGCGAATAAATAATTCTATTTCTCTCTTATACAATTGATAGATCTACGGTGCTTCTCAAACGGCAGCCACTAAGTTCTCTTAGTCCATTTGCGAGCAACTACATCTGCAAGATGAAGATCTTCTCCCTCTTCAGTACCTTGTCAGCGGTGCTATCGTGTACAGCTGTCGTCTCCGCGCAGTCCGACCCTGACCCGATTGGCACCATCTATGATGGCCATGTCCCAGCCGACCTATACGGATCCAGCTACCCCTACCCTTGGCCGGTGAAGCTGTTCAACTTCTCCAATCAGCGCCAGAACCTCACAATGGCCTTCATGGATCTACCAGCAAAGAAACAAAAGAAGAATAAAAAGACAGCGGTCTTGCTGCACGGCGGGAACTTTTGCGGCGTCACATGGTCCGACACGGCGCGCCACCTGTCGGCCTCCGGATACCGAGTGATCCTGCCCGATGATATCGGCTTCTGCAAATCGAGCAAGCCCCAGGGCTATTCTTACAATGTGCAGCAGCAGGCGTTGAACATTCACAGCCTGCTCACTGCGCTAGGCATCGATCAAGTCACCGTGATTGGTCATTCAATGGGTGGCATGATTGCCGCCCGCTACGGCCTCATGTACCCGACCAACGTTCAACAGCTTGTACTCGTCGACCCTCTGGGTCTGGAGGACTGGGTAGCCAAGGGTGTGCCCTATTTATCAATCGACGCGACATACGAGAGTCAAGTTGTGCAGAATTTTACCACTCTCAAGGGGTATGAGCAGGCCAGCTACTTCCACGGTGCCTCCTGGAAGCCTGAGTATGATACCTGGGTTCACATGCTAGCCGATATCTATGCCAGCGACTATGGCTCCGCCTATTCGTACGTGATGGCTCTCGTCACCGACGCCTTGCTCAGCCAGCCTATCATCTACCAGCTGCCTCTCCTGCAGACACGTACTTATCTCATGGTAGGAGAGAACGACATTACAGCGCTTGGTAAAGCATGGTCATCCCCTGCTGTAGCTGCAAAGCTGGGTCATTATTCTGAACTCGGTCCTGCTGCTGCAGCCCTGATCCCCAACTCCACCTTCCACATGTTCCCCGGTCTAGGCCATGCGCCCTTTCTCCAGGACCCCAAAGCATTTTACAAAGTGCTATTCTCTTGGCTGGACTAAAGAGGATCGGCAATTGGCATACCATATCATTTGATACTATATCCATTTGTCGCATGGGAACCATGTATGTTGTAAACAGCGAACCTGTGAATTACTGTATCCGGTTAGTTTTGCCTCTTTAGGTTCATCACCCTAATACGCTATTTTGTAACCTCTCCCGGCGTCGCCTCAACATAAAAGACCCGGCCTCGCTCTTTCGCTCTCTCTTATTCTTCTTTCCCTCCCTAAAACTCCTCTATTTTGCACTCATCGCCGCCCCCTTTCTTTCCCTCTCGCCCCCCGCCCATTGCGCCTTGTTGCAGCCCGACGCACTGCCCCTTTCATTTCATTGGAGATGCCGCTCCATTCAAGCCCCAGCTTGTTCTCGCTCCTCGGGCTAGAATGGTAATTGCACAGGAGCAGAATCACTGGAATGATCCAGCCCGCAGCGGCATCGTATAGCTTCAGTTCAATACTTCTCTCCTCCCCCAAAGGAGTAAGCGTGTACCACGCTACGAATACCACCCAGTTGTCGTTATCGTCGGCCCCTCCGGTTTCCTCTACGCCCAATCAGCAAATATTCGAAAGCACAGCCTGGTGATATAGGCCAATAGCGAAAATACCGCACACGTCCCTAACCTCGATCGATGGTGCATCTTGCGGCCAATGGTAGACAGTGACTGCGAAACCACATCATGATCATACCATCACTTTCCTGATATAGAAACGGCTTATAATAGGCTTATGACTAGTGCATGCATCGCAAGGGTCATCAGCGAGCGTAGCGGGAATCCTTGCTAGTGAACTACAGCTTGTGGTTGTTGCCTGTGAAACTGATATGGTCTGGCTTCCTTGGATGCAATGGCATGGATTGCAGGATCTGGTCGAGATTGTCTGCACATTACGATCGTTCGGAGCACAACCTCAATATCGATCGTGTCTGGATGACCAACTTCTGAATTAGGGTCATTTGTTTCACGCTGGTAAGGAACTCAGGCTGCTGATTATGCTAACAACTGTATCTCCGAGGTCGGGACCACTTACTCTTCCCTATCAAAGGTTAGCCGTAAAGATTCCAAGGTCGCACAATACGGGTCTAGTTTGTTTGAGAGGAGTATGTACGGGAAAGATATACAAACTGGGGGCAGGCATGTGTCAAACTCGTCCGTTAAAGACACTCCCGCCCCTCGCGTTCCTCACTTCTTTTCAACCCTCGAAACTGCCACCATTGGATCATGTCCCTAATAAGATCGCACAGCCAGTGGCCTGGAGGCATCCCCTCCTTCATTCGCCGACACGAAGAACCCGTGGCCCCGGAAAATTTTGATGCCGCCTCTCGTGCATGGAGGCATTTTGTTCGTGACCAGTGGGTCGGCGGCGACGCCGCGGATCAACAGAAACGAGCTTTAATCGAACGGTGGGCAACAGCAGACCAACGATTTCGCGATGTATGTGTTTAATTTGGAAGAATTCTTATTTCTTCACTAACGCCAAGACAGAGCTATCAATCCCGAGCACTAGAGGACGAGCCTAGTTTTTTTGAAGGTCCCGAACTTACAGTATGAAATAGCTACTACTATTTGACTTCTTCTAATCGAGGTATAGGAAAAATTTTTTACCGGAAATGACGTTCAAAAATTCTGCATGGTCTACTTCTGCACCACCGAATTGACCCGCGAGAAAGAAGCCCTGCTAGCCAAGTGTATCTTGGGTTTATTCCCATGGGAAGAAGGCTGGGAATTTCTAGCAGACGAAATGATAATGTTTCTTCCCTTGGAAGATAATCAAGGGGATATTCTCGAGACATTCAAGTTCCATCAAAGTGTCGCCCGACCCAACTTCCTTGATATGCACATGGCACTCGATGGAACGGTGCTTTTCAGGGACTGCTATGCCAAGCTCGTTATCGATGACAGGACCCTTGAGACCGGACTAGGGCTTTGGGTTGAATTCGCAACGAACGGTATCTACAAGAAAGCCTACCGGGCTCAAATTATGATGGAGGAATCCGCCCACTTTTATCGTGAAATCGGTCCGGGAAATCAGGTGCCAATAGAGCAGGCGCTGAATTACATAGAGTCACAGGTAATATACCAAGACCGCGATGAAGATGCAGATCCAAGAGAGATCTTAGAGGATGAGCCGTGAGTCTGTCCATTCTTGGTTACGAGATAGTATATATTAATCGGTGCTTAGAGTCGATATGCGACGGCCGCTCGTGGAAATCTACCGAGGGGGTGAAGTCGATCTAGTGGATGACTATGCGCCAGGCTTTCGCGAGGCGGAGGAGCAGGGTAACGGCTTAGCGATCGGATATGATTTGGAACAGATACTTGCGAATGATGGAAATCCCCTGACTATCAAAGATCATGGAAGTGATCATTAGCTGCTTAGGGCATTATTTTATCGACATAAAGAAGCGATTGGTCCGAAATACGCATCAGGTTAATATTCGAGCGTAATTTTGGCAGTATTCACAGTTTTTGTTTGAGATCAGTATTTAAAAATGGGAACTGTGTCCATCAATCTTTGATACCATCCAGAAGCACTTTACAATAACCTATTAAAAGCTACTTCCTGGTGATTCTGACTAGATATATTTAAGACGCTAAACCTAAAAAGGCAATTCACAGGTCTGAGATCGAAGATATTCTACATTTCCCAAAGATTATTCTTCCCCTCCGGAATACTGTCTAATATGGGTAGACTACTCCGTAGTCGTATATGTAGAGGCTGCGCAGGTGGGACCCTAAAACGTGTCGGGTCGCGTCGTGTCTCATCCCCCCACATGTCAGCGTCACGTAAGTTTTGCTTCCCCTATCGCATTGTCCTCATGTTCCTAGGACTGAACAGCTACACCGAGTGGGTAACCTATTACAATATATCTCTTGTCAATTCTCTGCATGTTGATTCATCGACATGCTAGGCTAAATCCTATATGCATCGCCAACAATCTATGCCATTCCCTTCATCAATGTCAAGACTACCAGAAACAACGGTCATTCATGACTTGGTTTCCCCAACCCCGAGCATAGAAGGAACGGAAGGGTCCGATACGCTAGATTGGAACCCTTTCCGGTCACAGAGTTCCCCGTCTGCGGCTGCGTCGGTATTTCTCCTTGAAATATGCGTAGAGTACAAATATTTATACAGGCGGCTGTCCGGCAACGTTCAGTTTTGGATGGCTGTCAGCGATGCCTCTGGCTGGGCGCCAGAAGAAGCCGAGCCCTTTCTTCAGGCTACAATGGCAAAATACCGCGTGGCGGATCATACCATTCGCCCGGTCGACCCTGACGGTTACCGGATCGAAGCACTTTCATGGCAAATGGCGAATCATATTGCTCAGATCAGAACCATAGCTCAGATAGGACGCTCCAGATACCAAGCTCCGACGCCTGTTCCTGAAGACAGTATGTCTGGGCAAGAGATCGAAGAAGCCATATTGGAGCGGGTCAGGTTAGCAGCAATGCGCTGTGACTTTGATCAGGCCAAATGGCTCCTGCTTCACATCCATGACAAGCAGAAAGCTGACACATATATGAAAGAGCTGGAGTCCAATATAATACTGCATGACCAAAGGGAGAAGTGTTTCGAAATGGAAAGCGCGAAAGCAGAGAGTGACGGCGAATGGGGAAAAGCCAGATCCTGGCTACTTCTGCTAGCGAACAAGGTGCGGTCGGGACGACTGCTTGTGGCGTTGGAAAGAAGAAAAGCAATACAAGACAAATACAACAGAGGTCTTCAAGAAGAGACTGTATTGGCACAATTTGTTGATCGTGACTTGGCCAAGGCCTGCTCTCTGGTGTCTAAGATGAAAGGCAAGAGGCCGAAAGCGTTCGTGGCTTTATTCAAGTGCAACGAGGCTTTGACTAAGAACGACTTCAACGGGGCGATGTCTACACTTTCAAACCCGCAACTGGCATCGGCCCATATTTCATTAAAACCTATGGTGGACCTTGCAGAAGCGCTGTACAATGATGACCAAGATGAAGCTACTTCTCTGTCGCTGCTTCTAAAAATGGATGCCGAGAGATTTCAGAAGCTTTTCTTGAACTCATCAGCCGGTGATAGTGCAGAGAGGTGCGATGGCCAGGTTGGGGCCCTGAGCTTGCTCCTTACTCAACCTGTAAACATGTCAACGCATCTCAATAATTATTATGAAAAACAAAGTAAAGCAGACGCGTTGCGTGGTGACTGGAATGAAGCCCAGAAGTCGCTGCTCAAGATTCCGAAAAAGACCGTCTCTGGACCACTCCTCAGAAAATTAGAAGCGGAACTATCAGCATTTTACGAGAAGGACATGGAATTGGAAAAACAAGCCAAAGAAGCAGAGATGAACGGTGACTGGGAGAAGGCTAGATCTTTCCTGTCTCGTATCGAAAGCGATTTCGGCAAATTCCTCCTTGCGGCATTAGCATACAGCGAGGCACGGTTGAGCCACAAAGACGAGCACCTGGAAATGCTTGTTCAGCTCCAGGAGGACTATCCCGATCCTCGCCTCGAACAGGTGAAATACACACAGTACTTTGAACACGCAGAACTGAATGGCCCCCCAGAGAGAGCCACTGACCTGCATAGCCTTTTCGTTAGAGAAAAGATGTGTAGAGCTGGTGTTCTCTAGAGCGATCCTGATGATTTCCGCAAGGTGTTCGAGATGATGGCTGAAGATATGCGCGATGCCTACGACAGGGCATGGTATGGACTACCAGCTCCAAACACGCAATCTTTAACTGCATCTCCAAGTCAGGCTCAAGGAATTCACATTGCCGAGGAGTCGCCTTCGTCAGAAAACATGCAGGCAAGGCTTCAATATTGTCCAGACACTGGCCCACCTTCATCTTCACTGCCTGCAATCCCGCGCGACCCATGTCTGGTAATCCCCAGCAAGCAGGCGATCCGAGAGTATCAGTGGGACCGACCTGAACTGCCATCGTTGAGCTTTGATCAGCAGTTAGTCCTATTGCAAATCTGCCTTGTGCACAAAGGCCGTTACACAAATTCTCAAGGCAACATCAACTTTTGGCACCGTGTTGCTGATCAATTTTGGGAGGTTTCGGGCTGGCACTGGAAGCGTATCAGGATGTTCGTGCAGAAAAAGTTACGTTGTAGAGCTGCAAGTGATCGTGGACCTCAAATGGGACCACTCTTGGATGAATTGCAGTCTCATATCCATGCCGTCGGCCACCCGCGCCATCGAAGCAGCGTGACCCATTCAAGTCCGCAGCCGTCAGCACTTCAAAGCCCAGTGGGAAGTCTTCCTGGGCAAGGCTCTGCGAACCAATCATTCTCTCCGACTAAACTCAACGGCAGGATCAATTCGGATAGTATGTTTCACGGAAGATTGGCCGGGTTGAGTTCGCGGCCCTCGGAACTTCAATCCTCGGTAGAAGGTCTTCCTGTGCGGAGCGCTGCGAAGCGGACGTTGTCACAGACTGAGTTCGATGTTCCGATCAGTTCGGATGGTAAATTATCTTATTGCCATAGACTGTTCCTGAAGCGTACTCACATGCTATCCACATCGACAGACGATTTGCCTTCACATCCTCCCTCGCAACCCCGACATACGGGTCCAGCTAGCTCTTCTGTCCACACACACGCTCAGAATTTGCTCACAGGGACCACTGTTCAATCTCTTATAGCGAAAGGCAATGAAGCAAAAGAGCAGCATGATTTCGATAAAGCCAAGTCTCTGCTGCTTCAGATCCCAGACAAAACAATATTTGGACCTCTCCTCGAGGAATTGGACGAGGCTCGTGAAAGCCAAATACAAACCAACAAAGACTTCGAAAGACAAGCCAAAAAGGCCGAGTTGGAGGGTGATTGGGAGACCGCCAAGTCTCTATTATCTCGCGTTGTGGGCGAGGATGGCTCTTTCCTTCTCCTCGCACTGGAGTATATTCGAACACGGAGGACATGGAAACAATTTGAAGCACAAGAATATTTGGAGCAGCTCAAGAAGGAATACCCCCATCCAATCTTTAAGCAGGTGGAGCTTGACCACGATTATGAAAACGCAAAGATCACTGGCAACCCGCGAAGGATCGGTTATCATCAGGGGTTGCTTCGTGCCTACAAAAGGAAGTCCGGGTCTGTCTGGGACGAACCCGATGATTTTCGCAAGGCATTCCAGCTTATAGCTTCAGACATGCGGCATGCTCGTGACAAGGTGTGGTATGCACACCCTGCTCGGGCTGGGAGAACAGAACTTCAATCTCAACCTCAACCTGAGTTTTACTCTGGTTTTAATTCTCATGCTGGTCTTGAATCAGAGGCAGAAGTCCGATCTCAATCCCAACCTCGATATCAGCCTCAGCAAATAGATATCCCCGAAGTACTCCGCATACTAGAAAGGGCGCGGACACAAGCCCAGGCTCAGCCTCGATCTCAGCGACCTAATATCGACCAAGAACTCGCCTTGCTAGACAGAGCACGAGAAGAGATATTCAATGGGCGAGACAGGATCAAAGCTATTCTACTCCAGGGATCGAGCGAAGAATCCAAAGAAGCCCTCAAAGCAGTGGAGAACAATACATCAAGGCTTCTCGCCGACTTTGAGGAGTCAGCGACTTCGCTGATGGTCCAGGCGGGTGACGAGTCGGATGAATGGGATGAATGGGATGAATGGACACCCGAATCTCAAAGAATCCTGCTGCTTCTTATGGAAGCTGAGTCGAGAGCCAATGAAGAGAAGTTCAACTCTCTAATGAGGCAAATACCGAGAAATAGTACCGAAGCCAGGAACTTCCGCAAGGAATTTGCTGAATCAAAAGCCAAGAAGGATCGCTACCTTCAAAGATGCAAGGCTACACTTGACGCCGGGGGAAGGTTGGAAGAAGTAGAAGAAGAGTGACTCAAATCATGCATCAAGCTGATGACGATAGGTCAGGGGGATACATGGAGTCAGAATAGATTGGTGAAATATATACAATAGAGGCCTGAGCAGAGCAAAAGCCTGGCATCTTTAATTTAACATAAATATCTTGACTTGATCTTTCTCAACCAAGTCTTTCTCAAGACTCCTCTACCTCCCTCACATTCAACTCTGGAGAGTCAATTGTTTTGTCACCGGAAATTTGAACCTCCCCAGTCGTATCTAGCCCCGAACGCCAATCTTCCACAGCCGGTGGGGTCCATTCTGCAGTACTATCGAACATCCCGTCAGCACAAGCACAAACTAGCGGTGACCAAAAGCATCCACTAGAGATTCCTACCTATGCTCCCGATCCTCAGTCTCCTTCGTCCACTCCTCGGGGAGCGGCGGGCGCAGTGTATCTGCGGTACTCAAGCCATCATGCATCGCCGTGCGCCCCATATTGTACCGCCCGTAATTTGAATCGGATTCCAGCTCCGGTGTCTCTTCATGGTTCGCGTCCAGAGCTGAATCTGGCGTCTGTGGTTCGATCGGGGTATGGGCGGCATTGTCTTCAATAGGAATACCAGAGCTCTTAGGAGCTATCCGACGTCCGACTGGTGTTGACGTAGCATTTGCTCTGCTTGCTCTGCCATTGTCTGAGCCCTTGGCGGATTGCTTGCGATTGTGGTTCTGGTTCTGAGGGGTTTCTGCCCGGTGAGGGGTCTGGCACCAAGGGCAATCGAATTTATCGGCGTAGGCACGGTGCCAGCTTGCGTGTGTATGTTGTTGATATCTTCTCATGATGAATGTGTGGATATACCTATGTAGGTGGGGGGAATATATATATACAAGGGATGAAATGATTTGTGATTTCTTGTTTTCGGGGACCCAAAGGCTTTTTAAAGCGGGGATCAATGGCAAACAATGGAACTATCTAGCTTTCTTTTTTGTTTTGTTTTTTTGTTTTTTGCATCCTTGCTGCTTGAACAGCCACCAAGTTGTTGCGCTGGCAATGCACTCGTGGGGTTGGGAGCCACTTATCACATTGGCGCTTGTGCATGGCGTCGATCTAATTTTAATAGGCTACTTTTTTTTTTTTTAATTGAGTCCAATGGCATGATGCACACTCATAAATCAAAAATCTGTCATACAGTCATACAGTCATAAAATCCATCAACTCGAGTTAAACTACAATTTTACAGATCCCAGCTACGGGCAGATGCAAGGAGGCAAATGAGGGAACAAGACAGATGGACATTGGGGGGAGCAGTTAGAACTGAGTAAAGAAAATTGCCTTAAATGAACACCGAACTAATTGCTCCCAGGAAAAAACCCCCTTCCGATAATAAAAATAAAAAGTGGTATGTGCCATGATCCGTCAAAAACTACATCACATGAATAAAACGCCGGCAGTAGCCCATTCCCTCAATTGAAGATATTGGTAGGAACTTTTGGTCGGAAAGATAGGAAGCGAGACGCTTAAGCAGCGAGCTTGCGGATCTTCTCCTCGACGCGAGCCTTGCGCTCGGCGTGGGTGAGGCGGTTGACCTTGTACTTCTTGGACTCGGCCTTCCACTCCTCCTTGGTCTTCTTGGGGCCGGCATCCTCATCGGCCTTGAAGGGGTCCTCGCGGATGGCCTTGTGGGCATCAGCGTAGATCTCCTCGAGGTCACCAGCGTCAATCTCGTTCTCGATGTACTTAACGAACTGGGACTTGTAGCGCTCCTCATCCTCATCGGCAAGGTTCTCCATGTACTCGGAGACGTGGGAACCGTGGATGTAGTTCTTGAGGGTCTCGGCGTCGAGCTCCTCGGACTCGATGTCGTAACCGGGGAAACGGCGGTCGGAGTGGGGGATGAAGATACCACCGTCGGAGGCACCCTTCATGGCAGCGAAGACACGGTTACCGGTGGAGGTGCGGACGAGACCAACATCGAGGAAGGCCTTGAAGGGGCGGCGCTCGCCATCATCGGTCTCGATGGCCTCGGTGAGAGTGTGCTCACCGGTAGCCTCCTCGACACCCTTGAACTGCTCGTCAAGGTTGAGCTTCTTGAGGACACGACGGGCAAGGAGCAGACCGGTGGCGTAAGCGGCAGCCCAGTTGGTAAGACCCTGGTCAATGCCGTACTTGGGGAGCTCGTGAGCGTAGGCGGAGGCGAGAACCTTGTCACCGGTGACCTCAGAGTAGACGATCTGGGTGATGATGTCGCGGTTGGTGAAGCGAACAACCATGCGGTACTTGGGTGCGTTGTACTTGTTCTTGGCCTGGGTGATCAGGCGCTTGCGAGCATAGTAGTCGGTCTTACCCTCGCGGCGGCGACGGTACTTAGTCTGGAAGCGACTATAATTGGAAAAAAAGTCAGTAAACAGAAATCTCAGGGAGAAGACTATCAATCAAAAGGATTTAACTCACCTGAAGTAGGCGTTGGACTTGACGGTCTTGGTGAAAGGCTGTATAAAGCGAGATCGCGAGTCAGCAATTAACGCTTCAGAAATTACGCCGAAGCAACTTGCAGGGACCCGGCTCCGATAGGAATCGGAGAGAGAATAAAATGCAAAAGGGAATGCATAATGACTTTTCAGCCATCAGCGTTCGAACTCACCATTTTGACGGGGTGTCGAGGGCGCTGGAGATGGACGAAGAAGAGGAAGTGGGAAATTTCGTGGGTCGACTTTGTGCGGGATTTCGCTTAGCGCGTGGCTGCATCCCCCGCCAGAAAATGAGGTCGGCGACGAGTGGGAACATCAACTTCCTTAACTATGGAAAAAAGAAAAAAACTACAAGAAAATCAAGAAAATTACGAAAATTACAAAAACATAAGAAAATGATCAGAAATTCTTATTCTTCATCCTTTCTACATCTAAAAACCTGATATTCTTCTTGAAACACCCAATTTCGAAGTATAACACCTCACAACCGTGCCTTGTCCTCGTCCAGCAACTGAAGGCCTGTGAGTTTCTCCAGTTCCTTGACAGCATCTTGGGTCTTTCCAAGTGTAACTTTCACTGTACGCATGCCGGCATTCTTCGCCCCCTTCAAGTTCTCGCCAATGTCATCAAAGAACACAACGTCGTCGGGATTAGATCCGGCCAGTCCTCGCGTCTTAGCTAAAGTGTCCATTTCCTGTAATGCCACCTGATAGATTTTCGGGTCGGGTTTGCGAAGACCTGTGTGCGCAGACGAGATAAAGAAATCGAATTGCTTCTTCACATCAGATGCATCATTGTATTCATGTCCGTCGGGGAATATAACGGTGTTGGATAGAGCGCCCATCAGGAACTGCCCCGACTCTCTCAATTTCTTCAGAGCCGGGTACATATATCGGTCTGGTGTGCGAGATACCCGCATCATCTCCCAGAAAAGCCATTCTGCATCCACCGTCGGCAGTGGAGGGATGGTAGAACCACTTGTGCCTTGTTTCTTTTGAAGTTGATGGTGGAATTGTTTCCATAGCTGGGGGTCTCTTAGGTCCGCATTGAACCCCGCAAAGAAGTCGGCGTCCATCTTGATGTCACCTCGCTCGAGCTTGTGCCAGCTACCATTCGGCGCCGTTCGCGAGATACTAAAATTGACCCATCCTGGTGGGATGTTTTGGGCAATTTCATAGTCAAGAATAGCCTGGAATGGAGATACGACCTAGAGATCCGTCAGATATATATATCTTCAATTTCTGAGTCAAGTGGCTGACTTACACACACTCCTCCAATGTCAAACAGTAGGCCCACCGGCCGCTTGATCTCTGCCATCTTGAGATGAAAATGGGGCGGTTGGCGATATTAGGGATTACTGCAAGATATGTAGCACCTTATTTCTAACTCGCAAGCTAAATTAGTTGTGATGACCTTGAAATCGCAACGAATTGAATTACTTTGAAGGCGATCTGGACCTAAAAGACGGTCTGATTGCCGAGGTACATACATTCCAGACCGAGGATATACTTCACACCAAGAAACTTTACTATCATCCTAGGATGTACTCCGTACTTGGACTATATATGAACGATCATACAATCACTTAATCATTACGATTTAAATCTTTTCCCATTTTACAGTAGTTTATTACCCAAATCAGTACTGTCCATCCCGCAAAATCGCATTTGTGGAGAGACACGTGATGCCTTATCGATAAGGACGAGCTCACAGAAGATCGCGGGACTTTTGGAGACTCAACAATGGTACTTCTCCAACACCATTTGGATTGTGTTCGAGATGGATTCGACTCGAACTATATCTGAGTTGAAATCTGCATTCATCTGGAGTCAAGTCCGCATCTTCTCCGAGAGTCTCGATTTACCCGAAGACTGGCGAAACTATGCTGCTGAAACTACCGAAGGTGACTTGAGTGACAAGGTGATCGAAGATGTTCTACACAAAGGTCAGAACGCGAATCACAATTGAACAGCACAGCTCTTTACAGATTTGCGCCCATACATGCGAGATGAATAGAATACTCATAGTCCTATAGTAAATGCCGCTGCTAAGCAGCACAATCGTGTTGTTTATTCTTCTCAAGCGATACACCATGTCGCCCAGCAGATTGCAAACCTGTACTGGTCGTCGGTCAGCCAAGAGGCACAGAGTCAAGATGCTTTTGCTCGGGGCATCGAAAAGACAACGGATTTGTCAAGGGAGATGTAAGACTCCACCCATTTTTATACAAGGTATGACAACACTGACTATATGGGTTAGGAATATCACAAAGATGCCTGTCAACTTGGAAAGCGAGGAAGCAAGCGAAGAGGATCATGCAAGGTCAGTTTATAATCGCATCCTGATTTTCTCCGATTGAAGTTCCACCTGCCTTACACCAGTCGCACAGATACCGGCAGCTCCGTGAGCGGCTCGCGAGTCTGGACAGTCAACGGCAGCAACGGCAACGGCGCCTTGATCAGTTGCATCATCTTCGACAATTACTCGAGCCATTCAATGATCCCAAAAGGGACATTCAGCCTAATCTTATTACGAAAGATGGAGAACTTGTTCAAGAATTGGAGAAAATGCGCATGCTCGTAGCCAGGGTTGGAGGCCGGATTGCACAACAGAAAAGAAGCAGCGGTGCCCTTGAAACTTATGATTACTCACTTCCAGGCTCTGATCAGAGATTGGAAGCCCTGTTGAATATGCCTTGATGAAACCAAAATACCCCATGCCCACAGCTGCATACAATGAAGTTACTTGCGATAAGACACTATCACACATCGTGAATGCCTCTGAATTATTCTGTAGATGGTAGCTTCCTTGATTATCTACTTGGATTTCGAGCACGTTGCCTGGGATACAATGTTCCAATATCTATGTACCTTCCATCAGGGCGGCACATAGTATAGCCTCATGGATGTCAACAAAAGAACATAAGAAAGGCAGGTACGTGTCAATTACGACTGCAAGAATTCAATTCTAGACCTCATAGAGCACGTGCCATTGCACCGAAGCATAATTAAATATTTTGTACTGGGCGAGGGCCTGTTTTCTCTCCAAATCTCGATCGTCATTGATCCATTACACTTACACACTCGTCCTCCGCCGGTCGGAAAGAAATAGGCTTCGCCCCACCGATATGTTGGGAAATCGACTTCCCTAGATGAGCGTTTTCTTGTCGATTTGCTTTGCAGCCACCTAATTGTTATTTTCCATCCGAATGAGTACCCTCAAGAAGATGAGGGAGCTTGTGGGAATGGGGCCATCACGTGAATCCTATAGATCACGTGTTGACTCAGCGCTAGCCCCACTTGCTAGTGTGAGCTCCCAGCACAACACGCTTGTCGACTGCCTACTGGAGACCTGTGATTCTGATCAGAGCT